TAAAAAGCTAAACAGACTGAAAAATCCACAAGTCCTCTATGAGCCATAAGACAGGTAAGGACCCAGGGCTCCCAGGATTGGAGAGACAGACAGGTGAACGCAGAGAATTGTGACCTAATGGGGCAGACTCATTAGCAGAAACTGCTGTAGGAACCAGGGCCAGGGTAGGAAAACCTGAACTGTAATTGACAAATCTATGCAGGCTCAATGTGGACAACTCTGAAAGTTAAAAATTTGGGGGGGCCCCATTCCTAATGGGATCCTATAATATTGTAAGATTTACCTCCAGGAGCTTGACCAGGTTCCCCCAGTAAATACGAAAGAAAAATCCCTTCCTGCTTCTGAGAGAAGAGGGGGAAGAAACCATTTTGAAATACAATCGTGCCACATAAGGATGTTTTGGTCAATGATGGACTGCATATATGATGGTGGTCCCATAAGATTATAATGAAGCTCACAAATTCCTATGACCTAGTGACGTCATAGCCATAGAAGCATCATAACAGAATGCATCACTCTTATGTTTGTGGTGATGCTGGTGTAAACAAACCTACTGCTTATACAAGTCATATAAAAGTATACCACATACAATTATGCAGTATATATAATAATAAAGATGATAATTGACAAAAAAAAAATAATTCACATGCCAAAGTGTCACATCTTGGGGGAGATCTGTTCTGAACCCTTTCAGTAGGCATGCTTGATTGAAAGATTTGACACAAGGTCAAACTCTTATCTCCAGCATCCCTCTCCTGTCGCTGACATCTCATGGCTCAAAGCTCCAGCTCTCTAATCCCATGCTTGGTCTTTCTGGAGTGGCCAGTCCCCATCTTGAATCATATTGTGAGCATAAGCTATCTAGCAGCTCACTATGAGTGACTTCATTAACATAAAGTATCAAGGCTCACCATACATAACAAAGACAGTCTCATTACTTAGGAAATACCAAGGGTTTAGAGGCTCCCAGGAACTGGGTACAAAGGCCAGCCAAATTCTTGATTGCACACATGTGATGTCACACGCAGAAAGTGAATGAACTAGTGAAAGTACACCATCAACTTTGCAGGGCTGTGGAACCTCCACTCTTTCCTCATGATAGGTCCCTTACCACACATGATATGCAACCAACACTAAATGCATATGATATTCATACAGCTTATTGTCCTTAATATTATAAATACATATAAATAAAAGTTCTAGTGTTTTATTTCTAAAGGACCCTCTTATACCACCTGGGATGGTTATGCTCCGTTTTTGAGATTACTGCCCTAGAGATCCCTTGGCTAAATAGTTGAAAGAGTGCTATGGACTGGATGTTTTGGTCCCCTAAACTTCATATGTTGAAATTTCAACCCCCAATGTGATAGTATCCTAATATTATGGGACTTTTGGGAGATGATTATGTCCTGAGGGTGGAGCTCTCATGAATGGGATTAGTGTCCTTATAAAAGTCCCATGAGAACTCCCCTTGCTCTTTCTGCCATGTGAGGATGCAGTGAGAAGGTGGCCATCTATGAACTAGGAAGAGGGGGATCTCACCAGGCATTGAATCTGCTGTCACCTTGATCTTGGACTTCTCAGTCTCCAGAACTGTGAGAAATAAGTGTTTGTTGTTTAAGCCACCGTGTCTATAGTATTTTTGTCATGGCAGTCCAGATGACTAAGACTAAAGGATTGGAGTAGTTTATATTATTGTTCTCAAGTGTTTATTTCTTCCTCTGTGAGAGTATTCAACTTTGCTGCCCTTGAGCTGTCTGCTTGTACGGTAGAGTGTACTTCTCTTTCCGATTCACAGGTCTGTCCAGGTGACTTGCATTAGCCAATGAAATCAGAGTGGATGTAATATACACGTTATCTGAATAGAGAATTTGAATGTTACTACATGTTTCAGCTTACAAAGAGCTGCTCTATGATTCTGGGTTTCAGAATGAGGAAATACTGAAGAGCCAAGCAGAGTGACAGCAGACCCTAAGCCCACATGTAATGTGAGTGAGAAATAAATGCTTGTTGTTGTAAGCCACTCAGATTTTGAGGTTGCTTGTGATATAATGTAATCCAGTTAGAATGTGACTTTCTCCACAGAAAGAAAGATGCTTTTAGGAGTACAATTCGCATCTTCTTTATAAGCTTAGATTGTTAAGCCTCTGATAATCAGTGATTATTATTGGGAGTAGGGTGTGTGCAGGCACACCTGTCCATGTGCAAATGCTTGTTAGATCTAGTAGTTATTTGCTAGAAAATTTGTATGAATTAGCTCTTCCCATTTCTTTACTGGTGTGTGTTTCAGAGGCTGAGCGGGCTAAGGAGGCTGCCAATGTGGTGGGGCAGCCCCATATGGACAGTCAGAGCCCAGGCAAAGTGAGGAGCACTTAGACACATGAGGGTGGGCTTGTGTAGGATGTTAGAGCCTAAGTGGGGTAAGGATGGATTCCAAGTGAGGGTTAGAGACCAACATCCAGAATCAGAGTCTAGGGAGAAGAAGGAGAGCTTTCTTATGGAGGGTGACCTAGCATAGGGTGTCAGACCTGAACAAGGGGAGGAGGGTGTCCATGGGGGTTGGCTGGCCTTGTGTGAAAACACCCAAGTAGAATGGAGAGGGCATCATTAGAAATGGGGGCCTGGATTGGGCACGTAGAGCCCAATTGTGGAGAGAAGGGCATCTTACTCAGCGAGGGAGTGGTGGCAAAGATGGAAGGTTGCTTCTACCCAGGGGATTGATCAAATAAGGAAATAAGTCAAAAGATAATTGAAGTGAATTTCTTACTATCAGAAGTTAGAAATGTGGAAAGGGCAAAAACTGGAAGAACTCTTTGGTGCTGGATTGGAATTAGAGGTATTAGTGTAAACTCATATTTTCAATATGTTTAGACACAGAAATAAATATAGAGGGTGTGTGTGTGTGTGTGTGTGTGTGTGTGTGTGTGTGTGTGTGTGCATGCAGCAGAAGGAGGAGTTAAGTGGGAGAGATTAAAAGATGGAGGATCTTTTGGGGAGAGCTGAATTAGGTCTGAGATGTGAACATGTCTGTGGAAAAATTCCACATGAAGGATTTAATTTTGGGAGTGTTTTTCTTTTGGCCTTTGGGAAAAAAAACATATTTAGCACTCAGTTTATCTCCTTCTAAATTGTGATTCCATTCAATTATCCTAACTCTTAAAAAATAGTAATATATACTTGTGTAGCCTTTTGTTGCAGTGTCGTAGGGATTAAAGGGACAGAGAAGGGTGAAATAGAGAAAGAGGGGCCTATTCCTCTAACATCCAGTAGAGAGAGATGCTTTCAGGAGTTGCTGGAGTTGGCTGTAGCAGAATGAAAGGAGATTCGTGATGCAGTTAGTTAAGAACAGGGAAAAGCAGAAAGCACTGAGGTACAGCTTCAGAAGGCATATATGATTTAAACTTCAGCTTCCCCAATACATTAGAGGATGCTGACTCTTGAAAGTGGGAAGCTCACATGTGAGTATTTGTCAATGATCCTCTTAGAATGTGGTCTCAAAAAGTTGCTTTGGGACAGATATGCGGACAAAATTGATGAGAATGTGGCATGAGTGAGCATATGCCACGATTGATTGGTCTACAGATAATCATGTTTGCATGTAGATGAATGCAAACATTTGAATTTTATTCTTGCTGTGAGTTCAGAAAATACGGTTGTCAGGAAATATTTCTCTAACTGCTTAGTTCCTCTTTTCTTTTCCTTCCTATTACTTTCCCTGAGCCTTTGTGTTCCTAATTTTATTATACTTTGCTAGCATACCTTTAAAGACTGTGTTTTTCACTGTACTGGTCCTGGAGACTGGGCCTCTGTCTTAAAGGTTTTAGTTCTCATGAGATTTGTCTCAGGGCTACTTATGTACTTGGGGCATCTGTTGTCATCTAGTTGCACAATAGGAAGTGTGACAAGTTGCCATCATGTTTGGTTTTCATTTTGAGATGTTTTAAGGAAGAGATGAAAATGATTTTTTGAAGAAAGCATATGGTCATATGATCTCTTCTCAATATGACTTCAGAGATTACTTACGCTGAAGTGTGGTTTGAAAATGACTCCAAGTCCTCGGGTGCCAAATCAGAGCCTCCGGCAGGTAAGAAACATTTTCTAGTGGTCAGAGTTAATGATGAGGTGAAGGATAAAGAAAGAATACTATAAACGAAGCATAGGTGATATTATTAGTTGCTGGTTTTCTGGCTGGCTACATTTGGAAATATAGGATTCTCAGAAGATTGAGTTGCTTGAAGATAAGCATTAGAGGTTGTACATTTGTACTATAACAAAACTGGGGTGTGAGAAATCCACTCTAGTCCTGAACTAAGGAGAACGCTAATTATGTGGAAAAGTTGTCCTCTTGTGTCTTCTGAGGTTCAGTGAGACTACAGTCAAGAGTTTGGGTACAGAAACAAAGCCCACTAAATTATCTATCGCCCCTGCAGATTGATGAACTGGTGGGCTTTGTTCTTTTTTGCCTTTTTTTTTTTTTTTTTAGCTTCAGGTGTATGGCCTTTGTTTCTTGATCAGTTAAAGGGAAGAGTTTGGTGGAGAGTATTTGGGCTATTTACTAATACTGGACTAAAGTGAAACAAAAGATTACTGCAGATAAAAGACCACAAAGTCTTATTTTAAAAAGTCCCTTATATCTCAAGGAAATTGCTCTGTAATCAGAAAACCCATTGGATACTGCATCTCTGAAATGGATTCAACTAAGTTTGGGAGTCGATAAAAGGTAATTTGAGTAGTACATATAATAGATATAGAACAAAAGAGAGAGGAAAAAAAAAGTATGTGGCGTGTAAGAAGCCGTGAGAGGGGGGTCATCTCATGATTGCTCATGTTTTCCAAGACACTTCTGTGGAGATATGGAGAATGCTCAGTAAAACTGGTTGTTTTTTTTCCCCTTAAAAATGTATGTAACTTCTTTATTATATGTTAAAATGTTCACTGTAAAAAAAGTGAAAAACTAGAGGTACATAAAAATTTTAATTTTATTCTTACCATCTAGAGATAACTATAACTTACATTTTAATATGTATCCTTCTACATAGAGATATACATAAATGTGTATATGTATTTTTTTCTAAAAATGAGATCATAATATACATTACTGAGGGTTTCTTTCCCTACTTGGTAATATAACTTTGAGAAAATAATTCTTAACCAAGAAATGTTGACTAAAAAGGTCTGACCTTATCCTAAAGATGTAATGAGAGATGATTATAAAGATTTATCTGCTATGGTAGTATTTAAAGTAGTTAAAGTTGGAAACAATCTGGAAGGTTATTTAAATATATAACTGATATATGGTGTGTCAGTCATGTCGGAAAATGTGTTTATATATCTATATTCTCTCTCTCTCTCTCTC